GAGGCCCCATGAATCTTGGGGCTTTCGACGCGGAAACCTTTTCGGGAACAGCACGGCGGTCAAGCCAGAGACTACTCGCGAGCGCGGCAGCGTGCAAGAAGCAATGGGTCATTGCTTCCCTCGACATCAACATGGCCTTCCTGCAAGGGTTGAGGCAATTGGTGAACAGGAACGTGTGGCGTGCTATGCTCTGCCGCGTGGATCGGCTACGGCGCTTCGCACCCTCCCAGGATTCGAACACTACGACGAGTCGAAGCACTGCTTGCAGTGCCTCGAGCCAGGTACTGGCACCAAGGACGTACCTCGAGCTTTCTCACTAAAGCTCAGAAGGACCACGGGACCCACGTCCTATGGCGAGGAGTTCGAGACGAACAGTAACCTGCTCACGGCCAAACATGTTGATGACATCACAACGGTCGGTACAGAGGACACTATTGACTAGTGCGTCAAGTGCGTAGAAGACACTTTTGGTAAGTGTAAACTCAACAAGCACACGTGTGCCAATTGTGTTGTGATATATACCACGGATGAGGACGGCAGTGTTACTTTGGGCCAAAACGAAAACATCAGACAGCTCCGTTCTATACAACATCCTGAACTTACCGGCGCCGACGCTGACGCCCAAGCATTCAGGATGGTTGCAGCCAGTCCGTCAGCCTTCGAGGCGCATTGGCGCATGCATCAACCACCCAGGTGTGGTTGATGTTGTATGTTGTCTCTCTACAACGTGCTCAAGAACCGACCAACATATAAGTGCGACGACTGAACGCGATTACCAGGAAACTGCAGGCCTGCCCTAAGAAGATCGCCTACGAGGCGATGACCCCCACGGGCGAGGTTGACTTGCGCAGCGACTCAGGTTACCGACGCCTGAGAAGAGGTGCCGATGACGAAGCCTAAGGCTATGCTATGGTATTCGCGGGGCAAACCTGCTACGGCGTGGAAGCACGCCATCCGGTAAGCCCGTCGTTCACTTGATCGATGCGTACTGCAAATCTCACCGCTTGCAGATCCGACCCAGCTATTCAGCAGAGACACTAGCAGCAGCCCGTAACTTGGAGGACTGTTATCCCACGATCGTGACTCTGCACGAGCTCCCCGCAGGGCCGTTTACTCCCACTCAGTTGAAAGACATACTCGAGTTGGGTGGCCTGAGCATCGAGGTCACTTTGACCGTAGATGCTGAGTCTGTTTTTAAATCCTTGTCAAGCAAAGATTTGAAGAAGCCGACTGAGTGTACCCTTCTAGGACACATCAGCTGGATACGACAGATGATGGAGCGAGGAATCGTGCGCAGTATTCAGTGGTGTGACACCCGCGATGTGACCGCGGACGGCCACACCAAAGGGAACATCGACAGAGAAATGCTCCTGCAGGTCATGGGAGGTACACGATCCTTCAAACATGACTTAAAGCGTCATACTCCCTATCGGGCTGGCCAGACATCCCGTTCTGTAGCCGCCTGAGAAGTACTCGTATGCACAGTATAGTGCAGTCAAGGCAACTTGCGTGCGGGTCCACCTTCCTTACGGCGTCGCCCTTTTGCTGCCCTTTTGTAAATAGTCGCTGCTGTACCTGCTGTGTAGAGGCGGGGGATTCACGCTTCGTCTCCCTCCCCCCCGACTCGAAAGTGAGCTGGGTGTTGCATGTGGGAACGAGCGTGCATCCGCGGCTGCTTGGTTCAAAGCGGCCGGCCGCCCAGATCTGACTACACTTCAGCGCGAGGTGTACCAATTGCCATCGATACCAAAACTGCTTGAGATGGCTCGCCCCCTACTAGTGGGACTATCGTTACTACGGTACAACAGAGTGGGAGCTGGGCTTCGCCTAAGGTGAAACTGCTGGTTGGGCCTCCCGACCCCTTTCAAACTGGGGTGCATCTCTCGCTTGCCCTGTTGCGTGAATGGCTGCGGCAAAGTTTGGATAGGGAGAGTGGCCGGTGGGCTTTTACTTTTGGCATGGGCCGGGGTTTCAATCAGCCGATGTGCGTGCCACGCGCGTATCGGCCACGCGGCCAGGACAAATTCGGGGCAGTTTAGCTATGCATCGCGCTTCTTTTCCCTCGGCTTTCTTCTTCTGCCAAGATCGCGCTGCGGGGAGAATGCGCAAACAACAAAAATGGAACATGGGGGAGGGCAGCGAAGGGAGCGAAGGAGGGGCCGAAGTGAAAGGGGAAAAAGAGAGCCGGGGCCGCTGCCATCCGCGCCGCGGCCGTTCCCGCCCGTGGCTTGGGGGCTCGAGGGTCGAGTGGCGAAGTCGAGGGCTGGACGACCGTCGTGGATCTACCAGGAGGAGGAGGAGGAGGCGGAGGAGGAGGAGGAGGAGGAGGAGGAGGAGGAGGAGGAGGAGGAGAGGAGGAGGAGGAGGAGGAGGAGGAGGAGATGATGGAGGCAAAAGAGAAGGCGGAGGAGGAGGAGGAAGGAGGAGGAGGAGGAGAGAGGAGGGGAGGGAGGAGGAGGAGGAGGAGGAGAGGAGGAGGAGGAGATGAGGAGGAGGATTGATGAGGAGGCAAAAGAGAAGGCGGAGGAGGAGGAGAAGGAAGAAAAGGAGGAGAAGGAGAGAGGAGAGGACAGGAGGAGGAGGAGGAGGAGGAGGAGGAGAGAGAGGAGGAGGAGGAGAGGAGGAGGAGGAGGAGGATTGATGAGGAGGCAAAAGAGAAGGCGGAGGAGGAGGAGAAGGAAGAAAAGGAGGAGAAGGAGGAGCAGGAGGAGCAGGAGGAGGAGGGGAGGAGGAGGAGGAGGAGGAGGAGGAGGAGGAGGAGGAGGAGGAGGAGGAGGAGGAGGAGGATGGATGAGGTGCAGGTTTGGACGATGATCGTTGATCTACCAGGGATGCGGATGCACATGGCGCGGCCCGCCTGAGCGGGGGCGGAATGCACATAAGGGGCGGTGTCTTTCCAGCGCTCGGACCTTCGACGGCCGGGCACGGATGGGCTTCCGCATTTGTGTCCAGCGAGTGGCCTCCAGATGTTCCACACGTCAATGCAGCCGTGTGTCTCTCCAGCTTCGCCACCGTGTGTACCCTCGCAACTCCGTCTTCAGAGTGCGTTCGCGTCGTTGAACGTCTTGGTCATCGACGGGATAGCGCCGATTCAGCGTCGATTGGCGTCGATTAGCGTCGATTTAGTAGCGTCGGCTAGCGTCGACTAGCGTCGATTCGCAAGAGCCAACACGGTGGTGTGGGAGAATCGGGTTTCCAGGATCGTGCACTCTGCTCCTGGTAATGAGGTTCCAGGCCTCTCTGCCCTGGAACCACCGCGTACTTCGGACAGGAGGAGCAAAAGAGGATGGGGGGAGACCGATCAAGAGGAGGACAAGGAGGAGGAGGCGGACGAGGAGGAGGAGGACGAGGAAAAGGAGGAGGAGGACGATAAACTCGATGATGAGGAGGAGGCGGAGGAGAAGGCGGAGGAGGAGTATGAGGATGGGAGACGAGGACGAGGACGAGGACAAGGAGGAGGCGGAGGAGGACGAGGAGGAGGAGGACGAGGATGTGGAGGATGACTAGTGTATACCCAAGACGCAACAACGATTTTGCAATAGTCCCTCCAAGTTCCCTCTTCATACGTTGTAGGCCCCTGCAATAGTTTACTTTCAACGCGGGAAACGCCGTGTCGAAAGGCAGCCATCTGATAAACCTCAGTCATACCACACACCATTCCTTTGACTTCAGCGCCGCGGAGCAACGTGACTGATGTGTCCCGTTAATCCGAAATGGCGCCAGAACGCCAGTCTTTGGACTTCAACACCGCGAAGCAACGTGACCGCTGCCTCCCGACAGTCCTAAATCGTGCCAGAAAACCTTTCTGGGGACTTTACCATACGAATCCTCGAAGCTGTCTTGAACTTTCAATACGAGAGCGCTTGGTGCCGAGGCGAAACTAACATTCTGGAGCATGAACCGCCGTTACTGTTTGAGCCCGTGGCACATTGTTAACACGAATGTGCACGGCGCAAAAGGCGAGAGCCACATTTTGAAAAACCACCCGCCCTCCATCTTTTTAGTTGTCGCTAACTTTGACATCGAATTTGCGCGGCGCCAAGGCGATAATCACACTGTGAGAAGGACCCGCCCTCCATCCTTGAAGCGGTTGCAAGCTTTGCAGACGCATGCGCGCGGCGCTAAGGCAAGAACAGCATTTTCAAATCGTTCCGCCCTACACCCGTGGAGGTGTTGCAAGTCCTGCACCTATTGTGCGCGGCGCTATTGCGAGAACAACATCTTGAGAAGGACCCGCCTTCCATCTTTGAAGCAGTCGCAAGCGCTTTGCCTCCGGACTGTGGGTGATAAAGAAGTCTCTAGCGAAACGCCAGGCCCGCCCTACCGACACGTCTAGCGGTGCGACAAGGAGGAGATGTTGATAAGGAAAAAAGATCGAGGAGGAGGATGACCAGTGTAAACCCAAGATGCGTTGACAATGTTGCAATCAACGTTGCTTCCAAGCTCCCTCTTCATAGGTCCCCACCGAGCTATTTTCATCACGGGAAGTGTCCCACTGGAAAGCAGCCTTGTGATAATCCGGAATCGTACCAAAATGCCATTGCTTGAATCTCTGCGCCGCGAACTAATGTGTCTGTTGCGTCCTGACACGTGTAAAACATGTCAGAACACCATTCCTGGAATTTCAACACGCGAATCAACGGGCACCCGGACACCCGGGCACCCGGGCACACAGGCACCCGGGCAACCAGGCACCTGGGCACCCGGGCACCCGGGCACTCCCGCCCCGGGCACCCGGACACCCAGGCGTGCGGCGAGAACCGGCGGCAAACCTAAACTAACCACATGAATCCGCTAGGACCCCTACAGAGGCAAGCTCTGATTGGGAATGAGTCATCAGAAGAAGACGAAGAATAACCAGAGGAGGAGGAGGAGAAGGGAGGAGGAGGAGGAGGAGGGGGAGGAGGAGGAGGAGGAGGAGGAGGAGGAAGAGGAGGAGGAGGAGGAGGAGGCGCCGCTGGCCCGCCCGCCCCTCTCCGCCCCTCCGCCCCGCCCCGCAGCTCCTGCTGGGGACCCTCCCGCTGCTCGACAGCCCCGCGCACGTGCGCCGCCCTCGGCGCCGCTGCTCGCGGGCGCGGGCCCGTCGGGCCCCAAGGGGCGCCGTCCCGTTGCATCCCTGGGCTGCCCCGCGGGGGGGGCGCGAAGGCAGTCGCGCCACGTCCTCCCGCGGGCGCGGGCGCCGATCTCGCGGGCTCGGCCTCGTCGGGCCCCAGGGGGGCCGACCCCCTCGGAGGGGGAGGAAGAGGGAGACAGAGGGAGAAGGATCAGGGAGCAGGGGGAGGAGGAGGAGGAGCAGGAGGAGGAGGAGGAGGACCAGTGCAACCACTAGAGTCACGAACGATTTTGGGAATCAGCCCTCCCTCCAAGCTCCTTCTTCATTGGCCCCTACCAGGGTTCATTTCCACTGAGGGAACTACCTCGTTGGAAGACATCCGTTGGATGACCCTGGAGCATGCCAAAACATTGTTCTCAGGATTCCAACGCCACGGATCAACCTGACTGTGGCGTCTTGACGATCTGAAATCGTACCGTAACGCCATTCTTGGGACTTCAGCACCGCGAACCAACATAATTGTTGCGCCCTCATAATCCTGAGCCCTTTCAAAACACCACTTCTAGTACGCTGATCATAGTATCCCGTGAAACTCTTGCGCATTTGAAAAGAATTTGCGCGGCGCTAAGGCGATAGCCACATTTTGAAAGAGAGCCGACTTCAATTTGTGAAATTCTTCCACATGTTTCAAACGAGTGTGCGCGGTGCTACGGCGCCAGAAAAGGAACCGCCCTGAATCCGGGAAGCTCTTGCATTTTTTGTATACGAATGTGCGCGGCTCTATGGCGAGAACCACATGTTGAAGACCATTCGCTTCCAATCCGCGAAACTATGGTAACTTCTAAACACGAATGTGCGCGGCGCTATGGCGAGAGCCACATTTTGAAAACGACCCGCCCTCCATCTGTGAAACTGTTGTAAACTTCTGAGCTTCAGAGTCATAAGTGGTAAGGAAGTCTCAAGCGAAACGCCGAGCCCGCCCTTAAAAACTGGCCTCGGGATGCGACAGGAAAGAAGTTATTAATACGGAAAAGGAATGGAGGAGGAAGAGGAGGAGAAGGAGGAGGAGGATGGTATGGAGAAGGGGGATCACACACCGACGTCTGGGAGGAGTCACGAAGTCATGCGCGCTGGCGCGCATGGAGTCAGAAAGGGGAGTCAATCGTGGGCTGCTCGAAGAAATTGTCGCAGAGGGGCGTGGGACGATGACTAGGAGGATGCGGACGAAGACTATGAGGGGGTGGGCCCAGGTTTGGCTTCCTCATGGGGCTGCTCTGCGCGCTGTCGCTCCTGGTGCAGTCCGGTGAGGATAGTGCTGGCCAGCCGATAAGGACCTGTCCTATCCCATTCCTCTTCTCTTCTCCTTCCTCTCCGTTCTTCTTCTTCTCCTCCGATGTGCGCAGGCGTGAAGTTTGGTCTAGACGCTGCCAAAGGACTCCACCCGACGTGGGCTGAGGTCACGTTGGATCCAGACGACATTGGCGGTATATCTGATATAACCTCACCGATGCATCTGCCCGCTCCGTGCGGGTCTTTCTCAGTGCATGTCAAAAAGACTCATCATTCTCCCTCCTCCTCCTCCTCTTCCTCCTCCCCCTCTTCCTCCTCTCCCCATGGTGCTAGCGGGTTTTGAAGCAAGCGAGTCCTGTTTGTTTAAACGTTTTGAAGCTCTGGGGGTCCTCATTGGACCCCAGTACCGTCAGACATCGAATGTGTTGGACTGATTTTCCACCATCCACCACCATTACCATAGGTCAGAGATGAGGGAGGGAGGGAGGGAGGGAGGGAGGGAGGGAGGAGGAGGAGGACCTCTCCATCCTTCCCCCCCGTCATATCTATGGCCTGTGGTAGTGCTGGTTGTGGTGGAACACGGGCCCATCAACGAAATAGAATGAGGGGCTGGTCTTGGGGGCAGGCCGAGAAGTCCAGGACCCGTTTCCCTCAGGACCCGTTGCTTCCATGGCACTCCTCGTCCTTCGTCCGTCGTCGTCGTCGTGGTTTCGTTTGTCGTCCGCGCATCCTTCGTCCGTCGTCGTCGTCGTCGTGGCCGCGCCGCCGTCGTCGGCGTCGGCGTCGTCGTCGTCGTCGGCGTCGTCGTCGTCCGCGCCGCCGCCGTCGTCGTCGTCGTCGTCGTCGTCGTCGTCGTCGTCGTCGTCGTCGTCGTCGTCGTCGGCGTCGGCGTCGGCGTCGGCGTCGGCGTCGGCGTCGGCGTCGGCGTCGGCGTCGGCGTCGGCGTCGGCGTCGGCGTCTGCGTCTGCGTCGGCGTCGGCGTCGTCGTCTGCAGCCTTTTCTCTCTTCCCTGACCGCGTGCCTCCTCGCGGGCGCGTGAGGCCAGGTTCGAATCCTCCATCTTCCCCTGGCGTCTGGGCGTTGCGAAGACTCACCACCCACCAAACCACCCAAACCCAACCCGAAGGTCTCGTTTTGCCCTCCATCTCCAGTTGGGGGGGGGTCGGGGAACATCGAGAAAACACGTATGGAACCCGTACCCCCCTCAACCCGAAATTCGGGTCTTCGGGTTGGGTTGGGGGTGGTCTGGTAGGTAGTCAAAGACGGGGGCCAGCCTTCTCGCTCCCCAGACTTCGGCCGGGATCCATGTCTGTTCAGGCGCGGCGTTCTTCTTTCATTCTGGCGTCCAGGGAGCCGCTCTCGGTCAGTCAGACTTACCGTGTCGTGGAAAAAAACACGACGGGATGGTTTTGGCCGTTTTCGGTCTTCAAGGGCCCTCGCTGGATCCCAGGAGTGTCGAACACCGATTCGGGATGAAAAACCTGTCCCAGGGAAGGGGTCTAAATCTCTAGGGGTTCACGTTGCCGATTCAGACAAGCCGCTCCTCGCCTGTGCCTGGCCTTCTCCTCCTTGCCCGCGTTTTCTAATCCTCCGCGTCCTCCTGCTGCTCCTCGTCCTCGTCCTTCTCCTGCTGCTGCTGCTGCTCCTCCTCCTCCTGCTCCTCCTCCTCCTTCTCTGCCTCCCTCCTGCTCCTCCTCCTCCTCCTCCTTCTCCTCCTCCTTCTCCGCCCCCCTCCTGCTCCTCCTGCGCGTGAGTCCATGCTACTCCGCCCTCTCCCCTCATACTGTCCAGAGAGGGGGTCGCCTCTCTCGCGTATGATCCTTTTCATGCACAGACATATGTCAAGCATGACATATGTCGGCGGCAAGCCCGGATAGGGAAGTGAGAAGGGGCGTGTCTTCTGGCTCGGAAGTCCTCCGGCCTTCTGAGAAGTCTTCGAAGCCTTCCCCGCGCAGAAAGCCTTTCAGAAGGCGCGCGAGCTTCTCAGAAGTCCCGACGCCTTCTGAGAAGGTCTTCTGCTTCCCACTTGCCTCCTTCGCTCGCCGCCGAGTGAGGAAACGATGCGGGGCGCACGCCCCGTTTCCGAGGCGCGCCGAGGGGCCGCGGGACGGTGGTGGGAGGCGGCACGAAGTCGTAGGTCCAGGAGGAGGAGGAGGAGGAGGAGGAGGAGGAGGAGGAGGAGGAGGAGGAGGAGGAGGAGGAGGAGGAGGAGGAGGAGGAGGAGGAGGAGGAGGAGGAGGAGGGGGAGGGACGAATACGAGTGGGGTGCAAGCGCGTCTGGTGAGCGGAGGGCCGTGTTGAGAGGTCGCGGGGGCCACGTGTGGTGGGAGGTGGCACGACGTCGGAGGCCCAGGGGGGGCCGAGGAGCCGCACGGCGCGGCGGAGCACGCGGCGGAGGTCGAGCAGTCGGCCGCTATCCCCTGCTCCTCCTCCTCCCTCCTCCTCCTCTCCTTCTCCTCCTCCTCCTTCTCCTCCTCCTCCTCCTCCTCTCCTCCTCCTCCTCCTCCTCCTCCTTCCTCCTCCTCCTCCTCCTCCTCCTCCTCCTCCTCCTCCTCCCCCCCCCCTCCTCCTCCTCCTCCCCTCCTCCTCCTCCTCCTCCTCCTCCTCCTCCTCCTCCTCCTCCTCCTCTCATCAAGCAGGGCCCCCCCTCCTCGCCTTCCCCCCCTCGCGCACCGCCGAAGGACACCGACTTTCGGGTCGGGCCGGCTTGGTGTTTCGCCCCCCACACGGAGGAGACGCTTTCACCCTGCTCGTCGGGCACCTCTGAGACCGTTGGTGGGGGAAACCTTCTTTAGCTACGGGGTTTCCTGGAGGAACAAACAAGGCATGGTCTTTCTCCTTCTCCTCCTCCTCCTCCTCCTGCTCCTCCTCCTCCTCCTCCTCCTCCTCCTCCTGCAGGCATGGTCTTTCCTGCGCGGGTTTTTTCCGCTCCGACCGCCGCCGGCCGCTGGTCCTCGGCCGCCCCGCCGCGGGCGCTCTCGCCTGGGCGCCTGCCGCTCTTCCTGCCCGCCCCCCTGCTGCCACCACTCAAGAAGGGGAAAAACACACAGACACAATCAATCGTCGACTCCCAGAAAAATATGGGGAAATATGGGAGGGGGGGGGGGGGAAGACGAAAACCCAGAAAATATGGGAAAATTTGGGGAATCTTTTTATTTGTGTGTATTTATTTGTGTGTCCTGGGGCCCCTGCCACCACCCAGTACGAGCACTGCCCCGATGCGGGTGCTGCTCGAAGTGCACCGCGCTCCGTCGTGGTTTCCACGACGCCCACGGATCCAGGTGCCCCTGCAGCTTCCACGGCGTCCGCACAGGGACACTTCCATTGACAGACTCACGCGCTTTCGGGGGGCTCCTCGCGAGCACGCCGCCAGTCGGGCGTACTGGGGCACCGCGAGCGCAAAAGGGTGCCAACGGCGGACAAAGCTTGTTCGAGGTGCACCTGGCCCGAGGTGTCCCCCGGGACTTCCAAGGAGGCCCCCCCGGCCTCCAGCGCATCCCTCACGGGGCCCAGAGGGCCCCAGTGCATCCGACATGGAACGAGGAGCTGGGGGCACCCTGGGCCCGAGGCACCCTGAGCACCCCATGGGTCGGGGCCCCCACAGGCCGTGCCAGGGGGGGAGGGCAGTCTCCCCGCACGAGGTTGGCGCGGGGCCAGCGGGGTCAGCGGGGCGCAGCAGCGGTAAGAAGACAGGAAGGCCCACGACGTGCAGCAGGGAGGGAGACGACGGCTGTGCAGCAGCACGCGCTCCCGTCCCCTTTTTTGGAACACCGCCCTGGGAACTTTTTTTCGCCAAGCGGCACCTCCCGCCACGCGAGGCTGGCGGAGGGCGCCTGCAGCCCTCGGCCCGCCGAGAAGTGCTGCGTTCCGTCTTTCCCCCGAGGCTGGACAGCGCAGGGGGCCGCCTCTCCCGCGGGACGCAGCCGTGCCGCCGCCTCCAGCGAGGGGACTCGTCTTTGTCGTCGTCGTCTTCGTCGTCGTCGTCGTGGTCGTCGTGGTCGTCGTGGTCGTCGTGGTTGTTGTTGTCGTTGTCGCCGTGGTCGTGGCCGTGGTCGCCGTGGCCGTCGTCGTCGTCGTCGTCGTCGTCGTCGTCGTCGTCGTCGACGACCTGGCCCCTGGCCCTCTCGCCCTGCAGATGCGGCGAACGGGTCCATGTCTCATTTGACACCTGGATTGGCGAGAAGGAAGAGGTGGAGCACAATGAGACGGGGTGGGTGTGAGGGGTAGGGTTAAGTCGAGCATGTCCCTCTACAGGAGGAATATTCAAGAATAGCAGCAAGATAGCCTGGGAACGATTTTCGTGCTCCGTTGCTTATGTGGGGTGTATTTCCTGATGTATTATTATTGTAATTGCTCGTATGCTTGTTCGCATCTCTTTTTTTATTATTATTCGTAATGCTATTATATGTGATTACTACCATCATAACTATTCTGGTTAATAGTATGATTATGATTAAGACTTATTGCTTTTGTTATTATTATTATTCTTATTATTCCTCTTCTTATTGCTATTCTTGTTATCATCAGCATCATCATTATTATCATCATTATCATTAGTATTATTATTAGTATCATTATTATCGTATGATTGTTCTCATTCTTATCATTATTAGTATTGTTAGTATTAGTACTCGTATTATTATTATTATTATTTTATGTATGTATTTATTTATTTATGTATTAATTAATTTATTTATTAATTATTATTACTATCATTGTTATTGCTATGGTTGTTCCTGTTATTATTATTATTATTATCATTATTATTATTATATTTATTATCAGTATTATTACTATTATTATTATTTATCATTATTATTATTATTGTTGTTGTTGTTGCTGTCGTCAGTATTATTATTTATAGTTATTGTCATTAGTATTACTACTACTAGCACTATTACTAGTTGCTGCGGCAATTAGAAGACATGTCCGACCTAAGAGTAGGATGCCAGACGTGATCTGGCCCCTCCTATCTTGTCCTCTGTCTTCTCTTCTCTCCTCCTCCTCTCGGCTCGTTCTTCCTCCTTCTCCCCCCTCCACCCTGCACCCTGACTGCTCACTGGCTCCTCCGCCTCCCTCCTCCGTCGCTGCTGCTGCCTCCCTCCCTCTTCGCCTCCCTCCTCGCCAGGACCACGCGCCACCAGAGATGCCTCCAGATCGCCGGCGCCTGGGGAGCCGCCGCGGCCTACCTGGCGGGCCTGCTCCTGCTCGGCCTCGGAGGCTCCCGTGCGGGCCCCCTCTTGCGGGGAGAGCGGCTCCGTCGCCCTCGGCCGCGCCGCCGCCGGCCGCCGTCGCCCGCGCTCGGTCGGCTCCTCTCGGTCGGCCGCGCTGCCTCGCCGCGGCGTCGCCGTCGGCCGCGTCGCCGCCGGTCGCAGCCGCCCGCGCTCGGTCGGCTCGGCTCGGCCGGCGCGGCTCGGCCGGCCGCCGCCGCCGCGCGGCGGCGCCGCGGGGCGCCCCCCGGGGGCCGGCCGGCCTCGGCCTCTCGCTGTCGCCTGGCGGCCTGGTGCGTGCTCGGCGGTGCCGCCGCCGCGGGCGGCCGCGGAGCGGGCGGGCCCAGGACGGGGACGAATCTCAGGAGGGGAGAAAGCACACAGACATAATTCGTCGGCGATTCCCAGAAAATATGGGGGAATATGGGAAGTGGGGGGGGAAGACAGAGACCCAGGAAATCTGGGCAAATGTGGGGGATCTTTTTATGTGTGTGTATTTATTTGTGTGTCCTGGGGCCCCTTCAGAATCGTCCCCCAGCGTTTAGGTCGGGCGTGTCCCTGTACAGGAGGAGTAATCTCCGAGAGTAGTCACAAAAAGTAGCCTGGGATGAGTTTCCGCTTATGGTTTTTTTTTTTTTTTTTTTTTGTTTTTTTTTTTTTTTTTTTTTTTTTTTTTTTTTTTTTTTTTTTTTTTTTTTTTTTTTTTTTTTTTTCTTGGTCCATCTTAAACTCTCCTTCGAAAGTCCGCCTGTAGGAGGACATGCCCGACCTCACACAGCGTCCTGGAACGCTCTCAGAGCGTTCTGGAGCGCTCTGGAGCGGCGGCGTCGCCGGACACATCCTCCAGAGCCGCTGGGTCTCAGAGATCCCCGGTGCATCCCAGTCCGATTTTGCTCCGGCCCTGGCTTCGTCGTAACGGAAGGAGGGCGAGGTTTGAGGGTGGACTCGGGGGGCTCCTCTTGGGGTTCCTACAGGAGGGGGCGGGGCTTCCTGGAAGCGACCGCAGGAGGCTGCAGCTGCGGAGGCTCCTGGGAAATATAGGAAAGTACGGGAAGTGTGTGGGGGGGGGGAAGACGAAAGCCAAGAAACTATAGGGGAATAGGGGGAATCCTGGGATATTCGTGTCTACTTATAGTTGCGTGTCCCTGGGCCCCGTCAGAAGGGTCCGGGGTCGACCAGATCGCTGCCTCGGGGGCAACCTCGAGCCTCATGGGCCGTGCCCCGCTCTCGTCTTCCGGCGCCGCCGCGGCGGGTGCCAAGCGGCGACTGCTCCAGCGCTGCGCACGGCAGGGTGGCAGGTGAGCGCCACCCTCACAGCTGGGGCGGCGCAGCGGAGGAGGGCCGGGAGGGGAAACAACCCACAGACAATCGTCGATTCCCGGGAAAAATATGAGAAGTGGGGGGGCAGACGCAAGCCCAGAAAGCATGTGTGAGTGTGGGGGCTCCTGGGACTTGTGCGCGCTTACTTGTGTGTCCCTGTGCCCCTTCCGAGCCTGCAGCCTACCTCCCCATCTAGGGGGGTGGATCGGCCAGTGGGGCCCAGGCCACGCTCGTGGGGATAGGGATCGGTTGAACGATGCTCAGTCTGTCTTCTCTCTGTGGCCCGATCACAGCCCTGGTGGCGGCGTCGCCGAGGACGCGGCCGTCCCGTAGGCTCCTCGTGTCGCGGAGGGTGGCTGGCGGACGCCGAGGCGCCCTGTCAAGGTGCGGCCGCCTCGCGGCCGCGGCGGCCTCCGCGACCGAGTGGCGCAGGTCGCGGCGCCCAGCAGCAGCGGCGGCGACAGCGACGGCGCCCTCGGGGCTCCCCCGTGGGCCGATCTCACCGAGCGCGTTCCACCACTCGCAGAGTGCCTACTCGCAAACGTCCGGCCAACAAGCGTGTCTTCCTCGATGTAATGGATCGGGAATCCCGCGCGGCGGATCCAGGCCATTTACGAGAAGTTGCCTTGCGAGTAGTTCAACTCGCTTGTTTACGATCGCAGCCCCCTGTGGCGTGCCGATGCGCCGCTCTGGGCCAGTCCCTCGTGCGGCCTCTCCAGACGATAGCGAGAGCGCTGCTTTGGTCGACAGCGAAAGGGTTGGCGGGGGCAGCACTCTGGGAGCAGCGAGGGGGGAGGAACGCGGCCAGCCCGCAAGGTTAGCAAGGATGGGCAGCCTTCCCCAGGGTACCCCTTGCATGCTTGCCTCCTCGGTCCAAGGCGGCTCTAGTCCGACTCTGCCTCGACTCTAGCTTGACTCAAGTTCGACTCGAGTCCGACTC